ACCACCCCTCTCTGTCTCTCATTTCCTCAATCCCTTCTGGTTGTTATTTCTAAGTGGAATAGCTGACAGGCATTAAAGTAATACTTTACTGAAGTATATATCAAGGAAAGGAAAAACCTTAAGTTTTCTAAGACTAAAACCAGACACTTGACCTAAGGCCATCAACTGTAAAACCCTTAAAATGATCCAGAACTCGCTTTCCTACGATCTATAAAAATCACCATCTAACCCTGTAATCGCTCTAATTACATCTGTATTTCTTCAAAAACTACTGTTCGAAATAAAAAATCACCAAATCAATTTTATTTCCTGCCAATTTAACCACCTCTTTGGCATTTAATGGTGTTGTTTTCCTCTATGTTTTCATTGGAAACATAAAATACGGCAGCTCTACTTAAGAACGCTAAGAGGCAAACTGAAGGGCATCTAACCAGGCTGGCCCTGGATATCTCGATGGTGGCCGTGGTAGGCAGCCATCTTACTGATCATTAGCATCTAGTGAGAAAGCTGTGTTTCCTTTCAATCAATTGCTGAACAAACCGATATGATTGTGCCTACAAAAAAGGTGCAGGATTTGGAGTAAGTTTTTAAGAAGTATAAACCCTTCTGTACCAGTTAGTGCCATTTCCTCCCTGAATTGTGACAGATGGCAAACACTCTTAAATCAAGCTTTGACCTACCTTTTGGTCTAAATGGATTTCACTCTCCCTGAAATTTTCATGGCATCCTGAATTTACCCAAGATTCAACGACCCTCCATCCAGCTCATCGAGAATTTAAATCTTTGTGTCTCTTCTGCTACTGGGTTTGACTGGGATTGTTTTTATTACTATGGACTCTGAGCAGGGCAGAACTACCGTTGCTACATTAATACTCAGGCTCTTCTGTCTCTTTCAATGAGGGGGAAACTGACTTTCTGTTTCTCTGTGGTTTGGCAAAAACTGGGGAGGGATTTTTAAACTAAATCTCTGCATATCAGAATCGTGAATCCCCTTAAAAGTTTTTTTCCCTCTCAGGGATTTCCTTGGCAGCTAACTCCTAGTTGCAACCTGCTTTCTCTATAGGTAGAAAAATCTTCTAGCTTTTTCAATTAATCTTTAAGCATTTGGGTACATTGATTAAATAATAAAAATTCCTTAACTTGTGTTTGTGTGGGGTGGGGTATTTCTCAACTACCAATTTAGTCAAAGACCTCTCACTCTGAAAGTAGTCACAGCCCTTTCCCCCAAGACATTTTGGAAAATATTCAAACAAAAGACTCCTCTGGTTTCGTTTTTATTTTTGTTTTTCTATTTAAAATATATGTTCACGGCCCTAGAAACAGAGATGCAAAATGGTTAATGTGTACCTGGCTCATCAAAAAGGGGATGTTGTGGAATCTCCTGTAGAATCCTCCAGCCTCATAACTCACATTTGCTTTCTGCAGCCCTGACAGCAGGACTCTTGGTGAAACGTCCTGCTGAGCCACTCTTTTCAAACAACCTCTCCAGTAGGACTCCAATGATGAAGGCCTATCAGGACCTCCAGAGCTCCACCACAAGGGTGACAAGACCACATCCACTTTCTGTTACTCCCACCCTGCTCATTTCTAATCTGTGGACATTATTTTTTTAAACAATGCACAATTGGAGGTGAGTCCAGCCTGTGGCTCTCAAAGGAAGATGGGCATCATATCACATGCATGCTCAGCTCCTCATGGAAGGCTGTTTGCAGGGGCATCAATTAGAATTCTAGGACATCAAGGGAAATTTTGCAAAAAAAAAAATTTCCCAAGAAATGCCCTTCCCATGCAGCCTGGATTGCCACATTTTTGAGGATCCTTAAGTATTCTTAGGAATCTTTTTTTGATGACAGCCAGATTTCTACCTGCTTACCATATAGTGAACCCACCTCTCATCCTATGCTGGCTCTTTCTGATCCCATTCCATATCTGAGTGTGACCTCTACTTTTCTGGGTTCACTGGGTCTTAGTGCTGTAATATACTGTGGTCCTGAAGCTCCAAAGGATCCAATGGCATTTCTCACTGCTCTATGGTTTTATGACAGTATTTTGGGACTTCCACAAACTAGATGCATAGTTCATGTCTTGAAATGTATTTTAAATTTTTTTAAAACTGTAGTTTTTAAAAACACACAAGTAAATTTATATTATACCACAAACATTAACCTTGAAGAGAACACCAAGCATTAACTTGGGCTGCCTGTTGATGGGTAGATATACACAGGCCTCAGAGTGAGATTGTCCTGCCTTCTCTGCCTCTAACTGATAATGCAGTGACTATGTCATTGACGAAAAGACCTATTATTCTCTGAAGGATTTTGGATTTCAAGCCTGCACATACCTGCTCATGTAAAATTATACAAGCAGGTACATACTAAGGCACACACATGAACACTACTTGGTTAAATGTCAGGTATGGGCCCAAAAGCATCTGCTTGGGTAATCACATGTGATACCCTCATAATAACATGCTATAGACCATTTTAGTTTTTAGTGTAAGTTCCAGGCATTTTAGACTAATGCGTGGTCATAGGGTGGAAAAAACTACAAGAAGCCAGGCACGGTGGAGCACATTTATAATCTCAGCAGGAAGGTAGGCTGAGGCAGGAGGATCCCAAGTTCAAAGCCAGCCTCAACAATGGCAAGGCACTAAGCAACTCAGTAAGATGTGTCTCTAAATAAAAAAAATACAAAATAGGACCGGGGATGTGGCTCAGTGGTCGAGTGCCCCTGAGTTCAGTCCCCAATAACCCCCTACCCACAAAGAAAGACTACAAGATATCCTAAATGATTCCACTTTGAAAAAGAAAGTTCTTCTTCCCTTCTTTCAGTATTCTCAATCAATTTATCTAAAGAGCATCCCAAGTAGAAGAAGGGGATGGGGCAGGGAGAGACGGGATAAAGGGAAAACAGGGGAATGAATCTGACCTAACTTTCCTATGGCTTAAATGAATATACCACAGTGAATCTTACCATTATGTATATCCACGAGACACTCATTTAAAACAAACAAACAAATGTAAGTAAATAGTAGAAAGATCAGTAAAGTAGAGCAAAGGGAATAGGGGAGGGATGAAGGAGAGGGTAAGGATAAACACTGGGGACTGAATTGAAGCAAATCATAGTCCATGAATTTATAATTATGTCAAAATGAATCCCAAAGTATGTAAAACTAATATGAATCAATAAAAAGTGAAGGGGGAAAAAAATAAAGAGCATCCCAAGATAGTAAAATGACCTTCACCACAGATTTGTTACCAACTGCTGCAAATGCTTACCTGTATGCACACAGGTTTTCTTAACGCTATGTAGCTAAAATACATGCAAATTAAACTAGACACTGAGGCAGATGTACAAACTGTCATCCAGAAATCTGACTTCAAATTTTGGTGTTCATCACAACAGATTCAAGAATATCAGTGTGCCCATGTTATAAATTTGAATTTATGTTAATAAAATTGTTAATAAAACACTGTCATTGTCTATTTTATATACTGAGAACTTACGTGGAATTTTGACCAAAGAATTTCAGTCTGTCAGCTTTTTTAAAAAGTCTGAAGGCTGGGACTACAGCTAAATGTAGCATAGCTGCCAGCATGTATGAGGCTCTGGGTTCCACGCCCAGCACCATAAACAAAAAAAAATTCTGAAAACAACCCAAATAACATGGGTTACAGTTCCAGTGCTTGGAGTCTTTAACCTGATTCTGCACAGAAAGGAAGGTTACGTGCATGATTTAAGTTCTCTGAGCCCTGGTTTTCTGATCTACAAAGTGGGGATAATAATACTCGCTCAACTTACTATGCAGTGTTGATACAAGAATCAAATTTTAAAATGCAGGTGGAAGTCACAGAAGTTTGAGCAGAAGGGACCAGAGAAGGCATCTTTTAATAACACCAGATGATTAGGTCAAAATCTGGCGGGGGTGGGGGGGGGCGTGTAACCAGAAGTATTTTGAAAGTTTTTCAAATAATTCTATTATACAAACCATAAGTACTCATTAATCTAATCCCACTTCTGATTAAAAAAAAAAAACAACTTGAGGCTTAGAGAATATCTTCTAGAAAATAGCAGACCCTTTCCCTAGCCACCAACCTCAGCATATCAACTACCACACACCTGTCTATATTGTATCAAATAGTAGTGCCAGGCTCACTTTTAAGACCAATACTTCAATTATTGTAAGAAGCCATATGAGAAAACACAAATATCAAACCTCTTTTTCTCCTGGAGTTATTTCCTTTGTCTTTTTCTGGTTTTGTTTTGTTTATGTGCAGTCCTGGGGAAGGAACCCAGGGCCTCCTGCACGCTAGGCAGGTGACCTACCACCAAGCCACACCCCCAGCTCCTGTTTTCTCTTTAAGAGTTCTTCACTTACCCAAGAGAGCCCTTGAAATGGGAAACCATGGTGTTAAGGGTCCAGGCTGATGCAAGGGCTCCTCAGAGGTGTTGCCAATTCTCCTCCACAGGTGGGAGTGCTGTCCAATTCCTACAGAAATGAACAATGTTATTTTTAGCATCATACTCTTAGGAAGATTCTAGAGCCTCACCAGGTCAATGAAACCAGAAGTGAACTGATGGAAGATACTGAGATAACAATAATGCCACTATCAGTTATGAGTACCAGGATTTCCCAGTCAAAATGTGCCTATGCATGAACATGAGGTGGCAAGTTTACAGAACTTCAGCATGGCACCTGACCCACAGAGGATGGTCTCAGTATGATTAGCTCTGACTTGAAATGACAGGGGAATTGGCATTAGGCAAACCAGCACTGGAAACCTGGCTCTGTCATAGGTTACCCGGCTATAGAGAGCCATTTCTCACCTTGGTTGTCCTAACTGTACAATGTGCATGACAATAAAAAAGTGCTGATATAATGCTATGATGTGGATGAACACTGAAAACATACAAGTGGAAGAAAACAGGCACAAAAGAGAATACATCATATGATTCCACTATGGGTAATGCCCAGGGGTTAGGGGATAGAGGGAGTTAATGGGAGGGTACAATATCTGAGGGTGACAAAAAAACGTTCTAAAGTTATTAATGATGGTTGTTGCACAATCCTGTGAATGTATTAAAACCCACTGGATTATATACTAAATTGGTGGGATGTATAGTATATAACTTATATCCCAACAGAATGATTTAAAAATATATATATGTAGACTAAGGATGTAGCTCAATGGTAGAGAGGTTGCCTTGCATGCACAAGGCCATGGGTTAAATCCCCAACACCAAAAAACAGCAGCAGCAGCAGCAGCAGCAGCACAAGTACTGCCTGCAGAACTACTGCAGATCATTGTGAAGATTAAATTAGGGGACACACGTAGCACGCTTAGCCAGTATCTGGCACAGAGTGGCACTCAGTAAATGGTAGCCCCGATGATATCAATGCAAGAAGAGAGAAAGTGACATTTAAAACTATGTTATCGCAATAAAGATAGGCAGGTAAAACTTCTCACCTACAAATACCACTTTATTCGGATGCCCTCACTAAAATTTCCAAACATTGTCAAGCAAGCCACTAGTTTCAAAGACAAATTATAAATAGCATCAGAAAGCTTGGGATGGGGAGTTTAGTTGAAATGTAATGGAACTTGAGAGTAGAACACAGCATGGCCCAGCCTCCTCTCCTCCCACTTCTTACAGGAAAAACAAACAATCAAAAAAGTGAAGCAAGGTTGCAAGGTGTGCCAGGGATCCTCTCTCACAAAGGCAGAGCTTCCTAAGACCATTGCTTTTGCATTCTTCCCAGGACTTCAGGGGCGGGAAGATAAATTACAAGGATTTACGAAAAGACAGTCATGAGAATCAGACAAGTCCATTCACAGGGGAAAAGAATCCAGATTTTAAAAGTTACCACCAGCCCTTTCTGAGGGTTATTAAGAAAGTAAAGCCTCTTAACTGCAATCACCCCTAATTAGCCATCAGCAACTCATGAAATTACTCATGGCATTGAAGACCCTTAAATTCTTGGTTCTCAGCCAGAAGTTACACTGAGAATCCAGCAGGAAGAAGGCCAGCAAGTGCAAATTGGAACAGTTAAAACTTCTCTGAATCCAAGGCGTAGTCTTCTTGCTCTTGGCTGCAGAGCAGGTATGCAGAGAGCCAGGGGATTTAACTTGGAAGTCAGATGAAGCCTTTGCCAAGTTCCTAAGGACCATTGGCTAATCAATAATTATTCACTCATTAGGAGAGGTTCTCAGGTCCTCTCTGAGGTGCCATGGATTCAAAAGAGGGATGAGTCAATTTAGGTTCTTACTCTTACAGTCTAGCTTAGGTGGATTAAATTTAGGGACACAGATTGTCAGTGGAAAAGGATGGTGTTACCCAAAGCAACACAGGTAAACACTGTTAACTTGGACCCCAAATCCAAATTGAGCTAGTTCAAAAGAAGGGGAATCTCTGTTGAGGGCTGGCTTGGGATCAGTAAGGAAGATGGGACACTAAATCAGGCCTTAGTCTAAGCAGGTTGTAAAGGAACATTCTAGGCTTGTTGGTAAGAGCGTGCACATTGTGATCTGAAAGACCTGGAAGTGAGACCAACATCCCCATTTATTAACCAGGTGGCCTTTGACAATTGCCTGTCTTTCATTGTCCTCATCTGTAAAGACTGTTTCTAACCACCTCGTTGGGCTATTACGAGTACTAAAAATTTATGGATTTCTGGAATGCATGACCTGCGTGCTACACACATACCCACACACACAGCAGGCGTGTGGAACTTACAGCCCAGATGCTAGAGAGTTGTATATTTTAAGCAAACAAAAATCCAGGTATAAAACTGCAATTGTGGCCAAAGCCATGAAAGAAAGTCCCAGGTGTTTCAGAAGGATATCCTGGGTAGGGGTTAGAGAAGATCCCTCTGAGGCAGGGACAGGAGGAGTAAGCTGAATGAAGTGGGGCGGGGGCACCCCAGGAGAGTGGGGAAAGGCACAGGAGGAAAGGAAGGAAGAAGGAAGGGATGGGGTGGGAAAGTAGGGACAGAGGGAAAGGAGCTCAGAGCTCACTCTGCATCCCCAGCACATGGTAAAGGAACGGTGGAGGGTGACAAGGGAAAGAGGTGTCAAAAGTGACACCATACAGATTTAGAGTGGACCCAGGAGGTGGCCAAAGGAAGTGGTCATTAAGCTTTCACAGTTTAATCAGGAAAGGACTGAAACGGCTAGAAAATACATTTACTGATACCACCAACCCCGTCCCCATCCTCTGTGTGTACTGTGCCCTCAGACACTTGGTGATAACAGAAGGAAGCCATTCTGATCAGCATGTCCTTTAAAATATGGCATTTATATTTCAGAGAGATCAGCAGAGTGGAGGAAGGGGATGGAGAGGAAGGGAGGAGGGGAGGATATGTAAAGGACTAGAGGAAAATCGACGAAACTATTCTATGTCCATGTATGAATCCTGCGTGTGTGTGTGTGTGTGTGTGTGTGGTAAATATGTGTGTTGTAATACATATAATTCTATTAGTGCATTATAATTAATATGTAATATATGTATATATTGTATGTATATGTAATTAGTTCTATTAGTGCATTGTAATTATATATATTATATATTGTAATTATATAATATAATTAATGTCATACATAATGTTATTATATATATAGTATAATTATATATAATTACAATGCACTAATTAAGATAATAATAATAACAGAAGGGAGATCAGTAGAGTAAAACAAGTGGATCAGGGGAGGGAAGAGAGGGAGGAAAGGGGAAGTTACTGAGAAAGAGATTAATAAAATTATGTACATGTACAAATATGGCTTAATGAATTCACTGTTATGTATAATTAAAAGGCACCGATTTAAAAAGTTTAAAAACACAGTTTCTTTCATCTTTGTCTTATCATTTAAAAATTCATATTCTGGGTATATTTTTATGTGATCAAACAGTACATTAGCAGGTAAAAGTAACCACATATATATGAGTTATATATGCAAACATTTTCTGATGTAAAAATTTTTGACAATAAGTACAAATTCAAAACTGTTCTTGGAGGCCACTACTCTAGTATGGCTTTTTGACTCACTTAACTCGTGGACACTTTAATCTAACAATAAGGTTAAGGAGCTTACTCTGGGAGAATCACCAGTTCTGTCATTTTCTCGGGGTTCACCTAGGCTCCCCCATGAGCATGTTAAGTCAGCTTTGCTTTTCAGACTACATTTAAAAGAGTAGAATGAATGATGAGAACCACAAGGTTTTTCCCCCATAGGGAGGGTACCTATTTCTTCCTGTGACTCAGAGTGAGAGAAGTTCAAAGTCCTTGCTCTGGAAGACCAGAGACAGTGAAGAATTCTAACTGTGATTGTGGAGACTAAAACAGAGACGACGCGGCAGAGCCATGTTATCCACAGTATGGGGTCGATTTTGATGCAATGGGTGAGAAAGAACCGTGGTCAGCTCTGGAGGAGGCAGGGACCTGATAAAATGAGGTTTCCCAAAAATCTGTTTGGCAACAGTGTGCTGAGCAGAGTGAGTAAACACTCTTATCCGTGGGGCTGAGTCTGCCTCTTGAGGTCTGCTCCAGTTGATTTGTAGCCTCCACAATGAACAAAAACCCTAACCATCGAGTTTGGGTAGCACGTAGGCTCCCTGGGGAGTGGAGGCTCCATCTTCTCTCTGTTCCACTAAGGCTCTGCATGAAAACTGAGCACGTTGCCTAATTTGGTCCCACAAATTTGCTTTCCATGGCACCTTCTACTCCCTAGGAGGTCTCAAGACCCAGGGCCACCAAGGACCAGCATGGATTTAAGCCAGAGCAGAAAATGGTTCCCCTGGCCCCAGAAAATGCCTCTGTGCCGGAACTGTGACACCATGCAGCTGTGGCTCTCTTACCAGCCCACCTCCTCAAAGCCTGCACAACTACTGAAGACCCCACCTGACTTCAGCTGGCACTTCTAAAGCAAAGGACCTGCTCAGTCTCTCAGGTTTGGGTCAGAAGGGCCCAACTCCAGAGGATGGTTCCTCCCTCCCTCCCCCTCCCACACACATGCCTGGAACTCCCACAGTGTAAAGCCACCACCCAGACAAACAAAAGCACTAGGCCCTGGGGAGAGGAAGTGACTCACTAGCAAAGCATGAGGGCCAGAGATTCTAGAAGGAGGGGGTTCCAGAGCCCCATCCAGCGCCCAGCCACTTGGGACAAGGAAAAGTTCTCAAAATCTGCCCATTTCGCAGCAAAAAATTGCCCCTTGGGGTCCTCACAAGACAGGAGCCTCTACCTTGGGTCAGAGTGTGGCCTCTTCCTCTCTCCACCAACCTCTCCAACAAGCCCTCCTGTCCCTGCCACCATTTATGACAAACTGCTTCTCAGGACACCTTCACCACAGCTCGTGGTACCACTTCCACCCCGTACCTGTCGTTCATTCTCGCTGTCTTTTTCAGGATGTCGGTTCCCAACATTGGGGTATGTCCTGGCCACCTTTGTCTCCCATTGGTAGGAAAGTGGAAAGAGCCAGGAATCAGCTTTCA